TAATACTTTTTTTAGCACCACTCTTAGTAATGTTCTTCCATTGTACCAATATTCTGGTGAAACGTTCCACCTTGCACTTCACTATAATCTCCAAGATTTTCAGAAAGTCAATATGATTGAGAATGGAAATGTTGTCCAGTGGTTCAGCGCTTTTGTGTTGAATAGCACTAGCAATGGGATAACTTTGTCAGCATGTTGATTAATGCTGTGAACTATCAAAGCTATTCTAGTCCACAAGGACTGGAGGTGGAATTTCCCCATCCTTAACACCACCCCTCCACCCATAAAGGGGGCTTTATAAGGCCATGCGGGCAGGGTAGATCTGATAGTAAGCTGCCTTACGACCATCGGATTCTCGCAGAAATACAATGAGATCACTCCTGCCAGATATTTGCCACGAATAAATTAATATTACCCTTTTTATGAGAGTGAAAACTGACATGCGAAAATACAGTTCGGCATCAAGTGGATAGCCTAGAGCTGCTATGTATTATCAACTTTTTTGAAAAATGAAATAACTTTAAAATTAAATTAAATATTCCATAAGCATTAAAGCTCAGACCTCTTTACATTGGCTGAATGCTCCTTATGTAAATAATGTTGTTTAATACCTATGTTACAGTTACACCCTAGTTGTTCCAAATTAGGCAACATAATTATCGTTTACTAATTGTAAAGAGTCTTCTAACATATGATAACCAGGAAAATTTTGGATTACTGAAATTAAAGATTTTTCTAGGTTCTCTTTTCAAGGTTGCTTAGAACAGACTTCAAGCTAATTTTGTTAAAAATTTAGCATGTTATAGATTTCAACACCTAAAACAAAAGTATCCAGGGGCCCAAATTTTGTCCAAGAGTAGTTTCTGAGAAACAGGGCTGACAAGTTGATCAGTTTATAACCTATTATAGTGTATTACACCATTATGTAACAGCTATTTGATATTCATTTAGCTTCTTATCATCATCCCTTGACATTGCAATTCTGTCGTATATATAGGGCCGCCCAAACTTGCCTTTATGGAGTATTTTCCAAAAGCCGGGATAATTTGGTGGGAATACATAAAAAGATTCCTGGTGGTACTGGATTGGGTACCGGGTACTCTTCTACTGACCAGTATATTAGTTGTGTCTTATAGATTTTCAGATAACAAATATTCTGTAAAAAAGCATGAAAGTATCTCAACTCATGTCTAGATCAGTTTAATGAGTAGAGTGAACAAATTGTATTGTTAAACATATTCCTCTAATTTCGTCACATAAACACAATTAACTAGTGTGTATCCAAATCTCATTTTCTCTCGGTCAGTACAGCGAGCGATATTCAAATTCGCGCGCTCCTATTGGCCAGCAGGCCATGGTGCATGGGCAGGCAACCACAAGAGAATAGAAGCGGCGGTCAAGCGCTCATGATTGTTTTGAATGAAGTTTGAACAGACCTTAGGTCAATAAAAACAACTTACAAATTGTGGGACTTGAAAATTCAGTGGATATCCTAAAGTTTTAAGGAAGAATTACTTACATGTTTTTTAGAACTTTGAACAACTAACTGACTCTGACAGTTCAAGTAATGGGCTAGCTACGCTGCAAGTGGAGACTAAGATATTTTGTTACAAAAAAAATCAGTATTCTCTATTGAAGGGGGTCGAGGTACTGGTTGAAAAATTTCCTTTTTTTTATTTAATTAGACTTGTTTCATAGTAAGTTAGTATCTATCTATGGGACAAATGTTGAAACTGAATTTTGAACCAGAAACGAGAATTTCATTAAACCTGAATAATTAGATAAAAATCCTAAGAGAAATGAATATTTTGTTAGAACAACAAAAATTATGAAAACAGAAAACTAGGGACCGAGACAATAATAATAATAATAATAATATTTATTCGCCAAATACAAAAAATGGGTAAACAAATACGAAAAAAACGACAGAAGGCATCGCCTGTGTATGGATTATATCTTAATAACTAACAATCAATCATATGTGTAAAACAATTATTACTGGTAACTCTAAAAAATATTAATATAATTGGAATTTTGTAGTTTTAGTTTTCTATATAATTAAGTATAGAATTCGCTGCACAGTATGGGTTTGTACTGTCTTTAAATTTTCGTCTAAATTTTTTTCCAAAATTAAGTATTTTTATTTCGTTTGGTACTACATTATATAATTTAAGCTGCTACAAATTTAAATGATTTTGTGAATAATGTTTTGTGTGGTCTTTGGATATTAGATGAGCCAATTCGAAATCGTGTGTTATGCTCGTGTTTATAGGATTTTTTTTCATTACAATACTTATGGTATAAGGTGGTCGCATGTAAGAAATAAAGTTATCTTGTATCAAGTATTGCTGTTTCCTGATATAAGTTGTTCGTCGGATATAATCTTGGATTACGGAAAATGGCTTTCAAAACAGTTTTTTTGTACTATATCCAGATATATATGTCTTGCAGGCGGCACCACAGGCTGTGATACCGTATATTATATGGGTTTTCAACTAAGGCACGCTACAGGATTCCCAGATAACTTTCTGTTAGAATTTTGAGTTTATAGGCAATATTTCTAATTTTTTGATAACATATTAAAATTTGAGTCAATAAATATTCCAAGATATTTCAAAGTGTTAACTCTATTGATTTTTGTTTTTTGGCCATGATAATTAACGGAAATTTGTTCGAAAGTAGGTAAACATTTTGAATAGGATGTAAATGCAATAAGTTTTGTTTTTTTGAAGTTAACTGGTAAAATTTTAGTATCAAACCAGTCAATGATCCTTATAAAATCCTTACCAGCTATTTGCTTCAGTGTGCTTCAGTCATCGGCTTTATATAATATGAGGGTGTCGTCTGAAAAACATATAATGTTTCCAGTACTGTTAATTTTGAATAAGTCATTTAAGTAGAGACTAAATAATAGAGGGCCTGGTACTGTTCCTTGAGGCACACCACACTTGATGTACATTTTTTTCCTGTAAGTGTTTGACAGTCTGTGCCCGACCTGAAAGGTAATTTTTAAAAGGATTTGTGACGTTCTCCCAAATCCCAATCTTTCCATAACTTTCAGAATCTCGAAAAGGTTAACCGTATCAAAGGCATTTTTAGGTCAACAAAGATACCAATAGGTATTTTTTTGTTGACATTACAGTTAATGTCATCCATTTCAGCCAAAATTGCGTCTGTAGTAGATTTTCCTTTTCTAAATCCATATTGATCAGAACATATAATTTTGTTTTTGTCCAAAAATTGTAATATCCTTTCTTGTAGTAATTTTTCGAAAATTTTGGCTATATTCGATAGTACTGATATGGGTCTATAATTTGATGTTTCCATTCTGTCAGCGCTTTTATAAACAGGAGTAATAATTGTTGTTTTAAATGCATGAAGGCCAATTCCAGATTGAAATCACCAATTAATGACGTAAGAAAGTGGTTCGGCTAAGTCGTAGGCTATTATTTTTAAATGCTCAGCTTTGATACCATCTATACCAGGACTTTTTTTGGTTTTAAGTGATAGGACAGCTTCTTGTACTTCAATCGGACTAACGCTTTCTAAAAAGAATGAATTGGGAAGTTGGGTTTTTGGGAACATGTCGTTCAAAATATTTTTTTTAATACAGGCTGCTAAATTTTCTCCAACATTATTGAAAAAAATTATAAATGCATCGGATATTTGTCGTTTATCTGTTAATATTGTTCCATCACTATTCTTAATTATTATTCTTAATACTTATCAAGTTGATACAAACAAGTTTTCAAAGTACCTATAGATCAATATTAAAACGTTATAAATTATTTTAAGCCCCGACACAAAAACGAGGGGTTTAGTCGGTTTTAACATGTGTAACTGGGCGTCTGTAACTCCACAACGAATAAGCGGATTCGAGTGCCTCTTCAATCGAGCCTTGTCTATCGAGATAGCTCTTTTTCTATGTTTGATGACAATAATTGATTCGGCTATTTAATTTATGGGGAATGAACTTAGGAGTGAGCGATACATAGTGAATATGCCTGAATGGGATATCAGGAGAAAGGATTTGATTTGAAGATCATTAAATTGGTCTTTTTAAGACAATCTTTCGAGTCGTCAAAAGGTTCGCCTCATTTTTCTGTATAATTTTAACCCCGACTGAAAAAATCCAAACGCATGAATGGATTTGAGTGCAATTTATTTATATGTTTGCGAATTTAAGTTGGTAGTACTGTTTTATTTGGATCAATGTATTTTGCTAATAAAAAGTATCAAAACGAACCTCGATTTTTTTATTTGTCTAGCAAATAACCTATTTGAAAGGGCTTGCCGCCCACACATGTAATTGTAATACAGAGCATCTCATTTAATGCATTTCTTAATTGAATGTCAATATCTAAGGAGGCGATTTTTGGGTCCATTTTAAAAAGACAACTTCATCTGAACGTATGTCGTAAACGTCTTAAGTTAATTTATTATTAACATCTGTAAATACTACTTCAGAAGTTTTAATGAAATTTGGCGTACATGTACATCAAGAGGCATTTAATGTACTACAATTTTTTCATTACCACCAGTGGCTATTTTGGAAGATATTGGTGGTGCGTCGCTGAATCATTCTTGAAATCCCTACTCAAGTCTAAGCAAATTCGATCGGTTAATCTATTCATTCCGATGCACGGTTTTTTATTTAAAAAATGAAAACCCTTTCTCTGCATGATCATAATTTATAACAATATCGTTAATATCACCATCCCGAGAAATAGCTTTTATTTTTTAGTTGAAAACCGTCCCTCGCACTAAGAAAACTGAAGCAATCAAATCTTCTCATAAATAAATTCAAATTTACGTCATTGTTTGCATAAAATGTTTGTCTAGTAGCGTGGGAACTGATAAAGTGTTATCATCTTCAGGCATCTTTATTTGCTTTATAACATTTCCATTATTAATTAACACAACTATCGCAGTGATACCACATCTACTACACAGTTATTATTTGCAGAATACATGATGTTGCATATTCAGACTCGTCAATATATCGGACCAATAAATTGATGTAAACAATTATGCAGTTCTCGAACTTTGATCTAACTTATTGTAAACAAACGGAACGAAGCGTATCAAGCATTTGGGAATTTGTGGGCTCAAGATTATGCCTGTTTATTATTTATATGCATCTTATATAACACCCCCGGAACTCCCTGATGACAGACCTCAAATATTTGGGCGTGTTTTTCATAAGCTTTCTTATTAAACAATGTAGCCAGCAACTCGATCTTTCTTACCATTCAGGGGGTTAATTCCCGAAATAAGAGAGTAGAATACTTGAAAGTGGGCATGATTTTCTGACCCTTCGGAGAACTGTATTACTAAATACTGATAGAAGAGTCGTTCCAGGTTCATTCTTGGGTGAAAAAGTCTTTCCGTCGTCCATTAGTCTCAACTCAACTATAAAGAGCCAAAATTGGATGCATTTACAATTTTGTTCGACAAATCTTTGTCCATAGCTGTTTATTTAGGATTATTCGCCCTAGAAGAGAAACATGCCCACTCCCTTTCTCAGCGATTCTGCTTCCTCGTTTTCAAGAATATGGGTCCTGCAATGTGACATACTCCAAGGGCCAACAGTATGAAATACTGATCAAGTCTTGGAAGAATTCAGGCTCCTCGGAATTTAGGTTCTATATCCGCTACTACTAGAAATATCATCGCTCATCAACTTTGAAACTACCTGTAGTACCTCACAATAAACTGAAGATCCCTCCTCGATTGCAGATTTGATTATTTACTCATTTTAGTTGACACATTGATTTGATCTTATGAGGTGACACAAAATATCCAGTATCCACTAAGCCAACGTCCTGCCGAAAATCCATAAACAGGGTGAGTTTTTAGTGTGTAATCGGTCGTTAGCACCGTTATTATAAAAGTATAGATTATTATTTTTGATTCTGAACTATTTGGCAATACAAAAATGCATTTTTTAAATGGAATACCCTGTACATTTTAGTATATTCTGAAAGGCCTATTCGTCGTAGTGTTGAAGTTCATCCTGATGTGCTTGCTAATAGACTATATATGCTCTAGACAGTCAACTAATGAATAGGCTAAAACGGCACTAGCCAACTGACTTATTAGAACGACCATGCAAAAGTGTAAAAAACGTAAAATGGACAAAATAATGTTACTTTTAGTAGAGATTACTCATTACTTCTGCATGTCTCTAGATAAAGTCAAAAAACATGCTGATTGCCTTCGCAAAGGTAGATCTTGTACACCAATGCATACACGCGGGCAGAAACCTAAATAGCGGGGCACCGCGACTGCTATAAGCAGCTTAAAGACACCTTGTTAATCATTTTTGAACTGCGTATGGTTTGCAGAACGGAGAGAAGCCGACTCAGGCAGATTGACCCGCATTTGGAGAACCTGATAACAATGGAGCGGTCGTACAGACCAAATACTGGATGCACGAAGCTTGGCAGAGTTAGGATGGTAGGCAGAAGCCTGGCGGCTCTGTCTGACAGGCTCAGCGTGCGACGGAGATTGCTGTTATCGTAGGTGTTCAACAAAATAAAAAACGCATGTTTGTGTTGCCGCGTAGTTAGGAATCACCCTGTAAAAAGCTGCAGATTTTCTACGAAAGAAGCGTATTGTTGCCTACAATTTTCATAACTTACTTTTTTAAACATCTTTTAAAATAACAAAGCTATTGACCAATTACACACTAAAAAGTCACTGTATATATCTGCCTTTATTTACATAGTAATCTCGAATCCGATATATCCAATATAGGATAACCGATCGGAATTCTGCAAGCTATATAAAGCAGCTTGCGTAGTCAAATAAGTCAATTTTCATGATTGAATTTTTTGTATATACCGCAGCAACCGCGCAGACAGGAGCCTAAATGCCAGGATACCGCGACTGTTATGGGTATCCCAAAGAAATTGTGTTAATCCGATTTTTGAACAGCCTAAGGTTAGTAGAACTGGAAAGCTTTCTCTTGTAGATTGTTTTCCAATCTCGACTCCTCGGTACAAAGGAGAGGTCGTATCGGCCTGTTCTGGATGTACGAAGTTTGACACGGTTAGGATAGGAGCCCGAACTCAGGTGGGTCTGTCTGGTAGGCACATCGCACGGCGGCATCTTGTAGAAGAGCTCTGAGGAGCAGATCCCTTTGGTATAGCGGTAAGAGACAGCTTGATCGCCGACGGCCCGCCGGTGCGAAAGAGCCCCAACACTGTCTGTTAGAGAAGAGTCATCGATCAGGCGGACAGCCCTCGTCTGGACAGCATCGAGCTTAAATAATGTGGTCGGGGCGGCAGCATCCCAAACGTGTGAGAATGCTCAAGGCTAGGTCTTATCTGGGCCTTGTATAGAGTGAGGAGGTCATACGGAGAAAATAACTTCTTAGCCCTAATCAAATAGCCTAGCTTTGTCCCAGCAGCCACTATTGACGAGATTTGTTCGTGCCAGATCAAGTCCTCGGTGAGCTGGACTCCGACCAGCCTAAATGAACGGCTCCTTGTCAGAACTCGGCCATCCATCGAAACAGGATGAGCGCTAGGACGCTTTTTGTTCGTCAAGGTACAGTACTGTGTTTTGGAAGCATTAAACTGTACAAGATTGTGTCGTTTCCAAGTCGCCGCTACTCTTCTTTTTTTAAGCCTACCGGCGGAGATCGACTTGTCGCTCTGAATTCCTGCATATAGAGTGCTGTCATCAGCAAAGCTGTGGATTGTGTTGATCGTACAGCAAAGGCAATAGGATGGAAGTTTGCATAAGAGAACATCGGGCCACAACTATTCGAACGCTTTCGTGATATCATATCAAGAGCAACTACATGAGCCTCACCTGAGGACTGGATGAGCTTACTTCACGACTGCGTGACGTAAGCTAGGAGGTCCCCAGTGGATCGCTCATGCCGTAAACCATACTTCCTGTCGCTAATCAAACAGTGGTACGTTCGAGGTAGTCTAGAAGCTCGCGATTTATGTACCTTACTCTTAACGGAAAGCATAGCCTGTAGTTGTGTCGGTCAAAGATCCTTTTTTGGGACGAGTTGATCATGAGCAATTTTTAAATTTTCTGGGAAGGTGCCGTATTTGTAAGATATCTGGAAAGAGATGCGAAAGAACTGGAGCAAGCTCCGCTGCACACCTCTTCAATTAAAAGCAGGAATCAAGTCTGGACCAGAAGCTTTCTTATGCGTGAATGTTACTTTCCGCATAGTGTGGAAACCATTTGAACCGATGGCGCTTGGGTGTTGGAGGGGAAGTCCATGGTGGAGTTAGCAGCAAAGATCTTGGCTAGCGCAAGTTAAAACATACATAGATGACATGTCTAGAGACAAAAACTGAATATTACCTATTTGTACCCATAGGGTTCACTCAAACTGAACTCGTGCCACATATATCCAAAGTTACTATTCTCTGATATTGGGATATATTGCTGAATACAATTTTGTTAATTTTGCACTTATTCGTCGTCATATGAAATTTGAGATGCAGACGTACTATGACCTTTTTATTTTGTATGATCAAAACTGTATACTCGTATGAACTCTGCCAAATTTGCATGTGTTAACATATTGTAGACATCTGATTCTAGACTATATATATTTTCTAGCAAAAGAGTAATTACAAATAACATTTTCAGCAACTACTCACGGACTTATTGCAAAAATATTTGGAAAAAATAAAAAATGTTGACATAATATGTGGCGTTCCATACACTGCCTTACCAATTGCCACAGTTCTTTCCTTGAAAACAAACATTCCCATGGTAATGCGAAGAAAAGAGGCAAAAGATTATGGTACCAAAAAGATGATTGAAGGCGTTTTCAAAAAAGGTGATAACTGCCTTATTATAGAGGATGTTGTCACTTCTGGCAGCAGCATATTGGAGACTGTAGAAGATTTAACAGCCGAAGGCATAAAATGCTCGGATGTTGTAGTGTTTTTAAATAGAGAACAAGGAGGTGCAGAATATTTGAAGCATAATGGTGTCAATATGCATTCATTGCTAAACTTGACTGATTTAATGAGGTATCTCAAGGAAGAAGGTTGTATTGATGAGAAGACTGTAAATAAAGTCAGTGATTATTTACATACAACACAAGTCGATCACGAGGCTTTGTCAAAATCACTTTCCAAAGGTAATGCTCCAATTCGTTATTACAATTGTCATACCCGTGTTTCATGATATTTCTAAAACTTATTTACTTCATGTATTTGATACACGTTCGTAATTTTTTTCTAAGAGGTGTTGTGCCGAACATATTTTTTTATGAACTGATGGAAACCTTGCATGGAAAGTGGGGAGTGAACCTACTTGACGTCATTTTCACTAGGGGTCCGGTTTTGACACTTTGTTTTCAAAGTGGTATGAAAGGTTTTGGAAAATCACGTTTCTCAATTAATAGCGTACATTTGAAATGCTGTAACACATAGATGGTACAACTTGTAAAGAATCTTTTCTGTAATTTTGAAGCGAAATGTCCCGTTTATCATTAAATCGGTTTTCCATAAAACAATAATTTTCCAGGGATTTAATTTCGTTACCAACGCAACGGCAAGTAGATCGAATTGAATATTTCAGATAAAGGATAATCGATAGAAAAGGGAAAGAGAAATGCTGCAGATAGACAGTGACTTTATTACAGAGCGGCACTGTCAAACGCTGTATTCTTAACAGACAAGTGTGAAACATCGTAACTTTTTCCGTATTCTAATCCATATAGTCCAGACCAATGAAATAATCTCAATACATGCAACAGAAAAAATGTATAGAAGCGGACCATACAAAATTATTATGGATATAAATATAAAAACTATGCTCTTGCAAAAAACATTACCCAAACGAAAAATGAAGAGACATTTTGTTTATACAATGATTGTACTTTTGAGATTTTCTTATCAAGAATCCGAAAAAGTGTCGATTGTTCGCATGTTGTTGCTCAAAATAAAGAGTTTTACACTGTTTCGCTGTTACAATTTGATCGTTGGCTGCAGTCACTAGCTGAATCTATGAACAGTTAAACTATGGCTTACCTCAGTTGTTGAATGTCATGCAACTGGCTAACAATCAACATAATCTGCTTCACCATGCCATAAACTAGATTTAAAAGCTTTGTACTGAAATGCATGCAGGTGATATTTCCTTTAAGAGGCTGATTATGATATTAATATTTCACATATCGATTTCAGATAGACTGTACCTTTCTTTCGCTGAACGTGCGAAAATTGCCAAAAATCCAATTGCCGCGAAGCTTTTCCAAATAATGGCTACAAAACAGACGACGCTATGTCTGGCTGCAGACCTGACAGACTCCACAGCACTCCTTAATCTAGCAGAACAGGCTGGTCCGCATATATGTGCTCTAAAAACGCATATAGACATTGTGGACGACTTTCATCCAAATCTGATCAAACCATTGCGAGAAATTGCCAACAGGCACAATTTTATTCTGTTCGAGGATAGGAAGTTCTGTGATATTGGAAAAACAATAGAGCTGCAATACAGCAAAGGCATTTATAAAATATCAACGTGGGCGCAATTGGTGACAGCACATGCACTCTTAGGTAAGTTTAGAGGAAATATTGTTTTAGGAAGAAAGATGCAAAGTTTCAAAAAAGATTGGCAAACGATTTCAAGGTCTGGTCTATTAATAAAAAATTATTTTCTGCAATCAGCCTACATTTTGAATCAACTTTAACGCCAATGTTAAGGTTTATTATATTTACTATTGTCACTTACTATTTTGGAACCGATATTCTTTATTATTTTTTAAAATGGCCCAGTTTACTGAAATCTTACATGCACTAGTTAGCCTGTATAAATCCTCCTCCTCCTTCATATTGAGGTTTTCCAAAATAAGACGTAATCCAGTCAAGATATAGTGAAAATTAATGAATCAATCTCTTTATTACGGAAAAGCTATTTTAGACTTTTTGTTAGTGGGAACTGGAACATTAATTTACAACTTTCAGGAGTTAACGTACCATTCCGCGGCAGGACATAGCGACACAAGACGGTGACACGCGACCAAGACAATGTATCTGTCTCTAGTGATTCCTATAAACTGTCAAGAAATGCCAAATTTTCAGTTAACGGTGTCATTGAACATATATATCGGAATAAAGCAATGGAGATCAATCGTTGCTCCAAGAAAAACAGCCCCAAATGTTCATAATGCACTTTCTGAACTCGCAACTATCAAACGCGCTTACCCGGAATTTGAATTATGTATGCATGTACGCTATGTACTCGGGCTCTGTGGGTTTTTCGCGCTCGTACTGGCATGCATTTAGAGTGACTGCTCAAGTATGGTCTTGGTCGAGCGTCGTTGTCTCGTGCCGCCGTCGCAGCGCGGAGCGACACCTTTATTGCGCTTGACAACTGGTGGAAATGAGCAGGGATTTCTCTTGGCCGCGTTTTTAAAATCTTGATTTATTGCAGAGCCACTGGGTACAAATATTCTATCTATGCTTTAGGTAAAGGTGTTCTCGAGGTAATAAAGAAATCAGAAGGATTAGAGAAAAGAGGTGTATTTTTACTTGCTGAAGCCAGTTGTTCGGGGACGCTAATAGATGCAAAATATGCTAAGAGTACCATGAAGATGGCTGAGGAATATCCGGAATTAGTTGCAGGTGAGAAATGAATATTTATCAAACATAAAAACAAATTTAATAATATTTTGAAATGCAACAGCTTATGTCTGTATACTGTTGCATATTGCCATGCCTAGTTGTCCTATTTTTTTGATAGGACTAATTCTACATCCTTTTAATTGACACTGTTGACTTGACTCAATCATCATTTATAATCGTACAGAAATACTTAGTAAACTTAGTTTGAATTATTTTATTTGCACTGTCGTCATAGTCGCTTATTTAAGAACAAGACATGTCGAATATTTCCTATGCTTCGACCGACGTGAAAAGACAGCTAAGCTGTTCTTAAGAATAAAAGCAACCCAAATCGTTGACTTAAAATGCGAAGGCGTTCTTTGTTGACGTTGATAAATGTCATATGTATCAAAACTAAAAGACGCAATTTAAAAACTTCCACTTTCCATCGACAATGATATTAAAAAAGCTTTTCTAAAAGAATGAACCAACGAGGAAATTATTTTGGCAATACAAATCAATTATTTTTCCTAAATGTTCGACGCAATAGATATCAACTACTTGTAAGAATTATCTGTAAGTTTTTACTGTGAAAGACAGACTTTTTGCATAAGTGAAACCTTTATATATTTTATTTTATCAAATTCTTAAACATATAAAGTAACTCACTTGCACCAAAATTCAAATTTCCAGTAATAAAGACAGTGTTGGATCGTTCTCAGCTGGGAAATACTAAACGTCGTCTTGCATAGGAATAATTAACTTAGTCCAGCTTAGCGGTGTTAAACTTAAGTTGAATATGGTGCATATGCCCATAAATGTATGATATCTGGGAAACCGAGAAATTTTGAACACGTAACCTCGACTTCCGTTTATTGATATTGTAGATATTCATCTTGGTTTTTAAGTAGTTTCAGTCCATTTTTATTACCAACCAACGTATTTATACCTACAGTACGTTGTCAGAATATGTCAGTAAATCAGCTTTATGTTATGATAAAATACATAAGTGGATCTCAAATTTGGTATATGGTACTGTTTCTTCAACCTACACTCAAATATGATTGATTGCTATTACAAATACTTTTAATATTCCAAGTTGAACTTTTCCAGTTCAAAACAGTACTGGAATCGCTATTGTAAATCTTGAAGTTTTTACTTTATAGTACATTTATATGAGAGAGATAAAAATGCAGGCAAATAACTGGAATGTCGTTAAGTTTATACTAAATATCATTTCTAAATGAAGCAGATAATCTAAAAATATGGCATCCTAACAGTATGCTGTTGCATTTAAATTAACGTAGTTGTATCACAGCTTAGATAACAATCAACTATGAAACTCTCCTGTAACTGTCAAAAACGACCGCCTTTTCGGCGGAGAATGCCGAATGTAAATTCCCCCAGTACAACGATGAAAGAGGTTTCCCTCTTCCGTACTGAATAGTCATAGGCGGTGTTGCCGCATACCATGATAGAGGCCGAAGATATACGTTGCATTCGTAAAAATTATTTTATTGCGATATGAGCTAATGAGCAGTTTGTGTGAGCCAATAATGTCCACGACGGACGGCGGATGATTATTTATTTATGAAAAGGCTTCAGAATAAATTTGTAAAGGTGGAAGGCTATAAGTATTTACAATAAACGGACAAATATTTAAGTTTGAATACTTAACGCTTAAGTGTGCACCGTGAATACAGCAGATCTAGTTAAATATTAGGAATTATGAGGACATTATAAATATTAACCTCTTTTAATCTAACCTTTTGTATCGATATTATATTTGATAAGAATTATTTGTTTCAGGAATCGTGTGTCAATCACCCATGTTTCTGAACCAACCTGGCCTTATTCAACTGACACCGGGCGTGCAAATAGACAATAAATCTGATGATGTAGACCAACAATACAACAGTCCAGAAATAGTTGTGACCGAAAAAGGGTGTGATATCGCAGTTGTTGGTAGAGGTATCACCAAAGCTGCTGATGCCGCTCTTGCTGCTGAAAAGTACAGAAAGATTCTGTGGGATGCTTATCTACAGAGAATCAAGAAGAACCACAAGTGACCTTTTATGTCATATTAAATATTACGAAAAGATTGTGTAATATTTTTATATTCTGTTATGATTAAATATATTGTACCTGTTGAAATATGAAAAATATATTCTTGTACCAACTGAATGCAGCTTACTGCATCTCATCATCTGTAAAGCAGGAAAATTAAGCGAAGAAGAAAGATTACGTACTTAGCTTTACAAAGTTTTTTTTTAAGTTTACAGTACATAGCGGCAAGATGCCTGTCTGTTTCCTCGCCTAAGTCATTTTTCGGTGGGCTTTCCAAAAGAGAGTAGTATAATTTATTTGTGCCAGATATCTGGCAGAAGAAATCTTCACTGCCCATGCGATTTTATAAAGCCTCCTTTATAGGTGGAGGGGGGTGCTGAGGCCGAAGAAATTCCACCTCCAGTCCTTGTGGAAGGTTGCAAGACATTGTGTTGTCCTCCGCTATGATACCCTGCTACTAAAGGGCTAAGTGGACAGACAGGTCTGTGAATGGTTGTTCCTGTAGCTTCACTAGCGTTTTCTTTTGCAATCGTCACTATAGGTAACACTATAGTAGTAGCTACCCTGCCACGTGGCTCCACAAGTCACTTCTAAAGTCATTATTCCTTATTCAAAAATATTTTTGCAAATTTCTGAGCAACGAACAATCCTAAATATATTACATCTTAAGCTATGTGCAGATATGTAACAACATCGCGAACCGAACCATGCGACGAACCGCAGCGCGCGCATTTTGACGAACAACATTGCAACGAACATCACAAACCGAACGAAGTCGTGCAACCACATCGCGCAACAAAATGATCCAATTTTGATGATTGTCGTTCAGTGAAAGACGAATACTAGCGGAAATGCTTATAGCAGTGGCAGCAGCTGCCTATTTTTATATTCACTACTAATTATCCAAAAACAAGCGACGACGACGTCCGAGACGATGGTAACAACCGCAGTTATATACCAATATATCAGCACACGGTTGCAACAATTTGATAGCAAAATTGAAATTTCAACAAGTGGACAGTACAAAAATTTTACGATGATGTCTCCAACGGATTTTGAATATCTTCTCACGTTGTATGGACAAAAAATACGAAAACAATATACAAATTGGGGAGCTGCCATCACAGTGCAAGACAGACTTGCAGTGACCCTTGCGATTTTTAGTGACCGTTGATTCATATAGTAGTTTGCAATACATGTTTGGAATTTCAAAGCAATCGATCAGTTACATCATTCCAGAAGTTTATGAGGCATTGATCGAAGTTTAAAGGAAATAAAAATAATTGTTTTACTTCGAAGTACTCGTACATTACAAAATAACACATTCGTGCTCGCCGCACCAGTGTGACTGTCCAAACGTGTGCAACTTCGTCGAGAGCCATTCCTTTGATGTTGCGCTGAAAAACCGACAGAGCCTGGATCGGGCCGAACGGCGAGCAGGCGAGCTGTAACGCTAATTAGATTCGCGACGGCGTTCTTTTCACCGTCTACACTAGCGCCGCGTGGTTCGGTTCGCGGTGTTGTTACATATCTGTACATGGCTTTACATATTTACACGTAATGGTTAGAACATTTGATTGACCTTAAAATGGTATCTTTGATTATAGATAGTTATGGAGTTATCTCCCAAGTGAAATAATGCTGACCCATAGACAGCATAATTATGTAGAGTGCAGAGCATACAGTATGAATCTTTTGACATGAAATTTCGTCGAATAATTCAAAAGTTTTTAGTAGGAAATTTTACTTTCTATAAAAAGTGATACGAGCATCTAAAATTTTTAGCTACTAGTTCAGTCGTTATAAAGAAGTATGTAATTACTAGTAACGTTGTCGTTCGCTTTACGTTAAAGTTGTACAGAATCAAAATTACACACTTTTTAGTAGCAAATGTAATATTCTCTCAAATTCAAATTCTTTGTTTGATGTTGATGTTACAAAAAACATATAGGAATTGTCGATAGAACTAAAAACTATATACAAACTAACATGAAATAAAACAGATGACAATAAAGACAAATTTTTCACACTTGACATTAAACATGCCAACAAGAGAAAAACTCTTCAACACTGATCAATGAGGAACCTTCTCAAATTTCTTTAGAAGAACCTCACGTTTGTTTCTGACTTTACCTTATCTGGTAGATTATCGAAAATGTTTAATCCCAAGTAAATTGGTGAGACTTGGCTGCATTTATAGTTGAAAATAGATAAATGTAATTGACTTCTTATTCTGGTATTGTGAGTGTGATTATCACTATTTACAAAAAAGTGAGTCTATTCGAAAATACATAAATGTCGATTTCTAGTATATACAAAGAAGTCAATGTCAGTACTCCAAAATTTTTAAACAGATCTCTACTCTAAGTGGTAGTTGCATACATTTTCTAAACTTTTCATGAGCTTTTTTTGGGATACAAACACTTTACAGGTATTTGCGTAGACGAGCTACCCCACAAGGAAATGCCATAACGAAGTCTTGGCTCAATTATCCCATAATAATTTAATACATCAAGGTAGCTTAAAACAATTCTTAAATTTCTAAAACCATATATGTAAGAGGATAATGATTTACATAGCTGCTCACAGTGGCGTATCCAACTCAAACACTCATCAATAAAGACCCCGAGGAATTTTGTATCTTTTATACTGAATTATTGACATTTAGACTAAATTGATCTAACTTACGGTGGTAATTGTGGAAGCTGGGTACTTCCGTTTTCTCAGTGTCAAGAAAAAGGTCTCTCTTTCGATGAAATAAGCAAAGTATGTCATCCGCATCAGCTATATCTTTATTGCATCTGCGATCTGATTGTCATATAAAAGGAAGAGAATCGGTCCCAGTATAGTAAGTACCCTGTGACACACCCTTCTGAATTGGCATGACTTTAGTTGTGATGTTAGAATGCGTGCCGTCGGATTCAAATTTGATAGATACATATATTGCTTCCGATTCTTGAGGAAAAAGGCTATCCATTTTTGAGCAACTCATACCATAATATTCTAATGTATTGAGTGATATCTGATAATTAACGCAGTCTAATGCTAATCACAAAAAATAGATGCGGCACATTCGTCGCGTCAACATACTCAATTAGTTTTATATAAAAGGCAGCCATTGCCGAAATTGTCGATCATCCTTGCTGGAAACCATGTCTATTGGTAATTTCCTTGAAGTTGCTCTAACAATTCATCAAACGATCTAAAAATGCATATCCGAGTGCCTTAGGCAAACTTTCCGGCATGATTACTGCTCTGTAATTCTTCACCAACGTTCGCTCTTTCTCTTTCTAGTGAAATCACTTCACCTGTTTTTATTTTGCTAGGGAATTCCCCAGATATAGACGACATATTAATGAGGTACGTAAGTGGTTTTATTAGGAAGATTTTTTCTGCACCAGCTGATTTTTTATTTTTTAGTCTGTTGAATAATAAAACTAGTAACTCATACTCCGTGAATGGTCTCAAAAATAATGAAAATGGATTAAATGTATTTTTGGAGTGCGTTTCCATTGAATTTTTATCACTATTTATTTTTTGCATGTCATCATTCTTCCTTTGATCTTCATTGAAGTATCTATTGAAGGCTGAGGCAACCTGACATGGATCTTGTACTAGTGTACCGTCAGCATTAAATGAAATATTACGATTTTTTTGTGAGTTTTTTGTGAACTCGGGCACAACACTCCATACTGCTTATGACTTATTTTCGGATTTATTTATCTTTTCTGGTAATATTTCCTTTTTGTTTCATTCGCAAAGATGATATTTGTTTTTTGCCTGTAGATAAAAAGGCTTTATTTGAGGATAACATTTAGATAAGTGAAAAAGTTCCTTCAGTGATGTACTTGATCTTCTAATATCAGCATTTACCCAATTTTTAAGATGGGTCATATGCATTTTTTACAGAAAAAATTATTTCTAAGTAGTGCAAAAGTAATACGAGCCTTTATAGTTTCTGGTAACTAGTTTAGCCATTATAAAGTAAAATTTAATTAGGCATGACTCTGACGTTCAGTATCTCGCAAAATACAACCTTATAGTGAAGTTGTACTGAATCAAAATTGCACACGTAGAATCAGTATTTCACGAGATAATTAACTAGACCCATTTATCAAAATAACGGTCCGCCATACAGGCATGCCAATTTGGATTTAACATAAAACAGAATTCTAACGGATCAATAACAAGGTAGTCTGTATTCTGTAGATGTTGGCATCAAGGGCGTATTGGAGGAGGCTTTGGGGCTGCAGCCCCTCCGTTTCTCCCAGGGCGAATCGAAATTGACCACTTCTTTGACCCAACCCCGCTCTTCAATTTTTTATCGCTATTACCCCGACAGGAACATGAAAACATGAATCTTGCGACCACCACGTCAGTGGTCGTTGGCATTCAAATCAAGTTAATTGCCAGACAAATTGGAAGAACACCCATCCTTGAGGTGAATCTCGTGTTGATAACCCTTCCATTTGATACCACATTCAGACATATTAGATGAACTTATAACACCTTTTTGCATCGATGGGGTAAAAAATTATCATTGGTAAAGGTGGTCCGTTACAATAAAAACAGTTACATGGTCCATCCGATACTGAAAAATAATTTCAAAGAATATATCTTCAAGCATAGAAAGGTAGATTAAATTAAAGCTTTTTTTTAAAGTCTTAATTATATTCAGCTTAAAGTACTTTTTGATTGCAAAATATAATTTTTCGAGAATATCCACTTGAATAGAAAAATTGGTCAAAATTATGACTGATACGATCTCCTACAAAATGATAAAAATACACGTTTACTTTTTACTCTGATATACCAGAGAATACAGAGTTACCATTAGGCTTGGTTCAGATGACGGGCGTCGACGTTGCGCACGTTTGTTGTGTCGGTGTTTAAATGGCACGCGTACGATTTCGTACAACTTTTATATAGGGTGTCTGCGAAAGGTTGGGAAAATATGTGAATTGACCTAAGCATACCTTTGTCCAAAAGTTGATAGTTTGCGAGATACAGGGTGTCAAAGTTACAATTTTATTTTCTATTTTTCCTTATTGCTTGAGAAGTATTTCAGATTTTGGCATAAAACTTGGTATAGTATGAGAAACAAGAATCCGTTATTTTTTATGGCGAAACTTCTAGAGGGCGCCACTTACAGCATTATCTCGGTAACTCACTTATCATAACTTTTTTGTGCTACCCTGTATACAACAAGTGACCGAAAAATCTTATTTTCTCGTATTTCCACAACAAAACAGGTTTACTTGTTAGAGGTGTCTAAAGCTAATAGTTTTCGAGTTATTTGTTTTTAGATCATTACATCTTGCCAATCCGTACATTAAATGCATATCAGAATATTCATCAAACGTACTCGTATACTCCATGATGTTTAACAACTTATTGTCAACTTAAAATTATTCATGAAGCTTGAAGCAATATTATGACAAACATTAGAAACCATAGCAATGCTACTCAGATGTTATCCAAAGCAACTTGATTTTTATGTTATAAAAATGTTTTATCATCATGGTATAAATAATGCATTCGAACTTTTGTAAACAAATATCTCGAAAACTATTAGCCTTAGACACTTCTAACAAGTAAACCTTTTTTGTTGTGGAAATACGAGAGAATAAGGTTTTTTGGTCAGTTGTTGTATACAAGGTAGCACAAAACAGTTATGATGAGTTATTTACCAAAATAGTGCTGTAAGTGGCGCCCTCTAGTAGTTTAGCCATAAAAAATAAAGGATTCTTGTTTCTCATACTAGAAAACCTCCCTACAGCGAGTTCTATGCCAAAATCAGAAATACGTCTCAAGCAAGAAGGAAAAATAGAAAATAAAATTGTAACTTTGACACCCTGTATCTCGCAAACTATCAACATTTGGACTAATGTAAGTTCAGGTCAATTCACATATTTTGGTCTGTAGTATCTCCAGTTTCGAGGTTTCCCAACCTTTCGCAGACACCCTGTATAGAGTGAGACTAGGTGGTCGAGTGTCAGTTTATTGTTTAATCCTCGAGAATAAATGTGGGAGAAGCTATTTGAATTTGGTTAGCATATAGAAGAAGTAAACGACGTAGGAGGGAAAGGATATAGTGGGTTCACCCAATTTTAAGGAATAGGCTTTCTACAAGTTTATACCTTACACTGTGTGTCCTAGCCTTCGAAAGCCTGAACCTAAATTTTTCAACTACTTAGGATGTCAATAAAATCGTTTAATAAACTACTGTCCATCATTAAGGATGATATTGTAGCAGATGCAAATGCAGTAAGGTATTGAATTTCACCAGAAGAAAAACTCATTGTTCCACTAAGGTAAGTCTTTAAAATGTTTTATGGTTATTTTCGAAATACAAGCTTATAATACTTGTATAACTAAATACTATTCAATAAAACAAATCCAAAATTCATTGCTAATCAAAACCTAATAAATTCCTTAATCAGAACAAGACAGAAGGTAATTTTGATCAGTATGTCAGTATTTACGAACGAGTCAAGTTCAGATGAATTTTGAGAATTTTCACTAACATCAACATAGTTCAAGCAGACGGCGATGAAGTTGGTACCGGTGGACGTGTACATTGTTAGGATACGTTTGATGGCTATGAAGCTGTTTATATGACCGAGTGTCATACGACGTATTGGAATAACTATTTTGTTGATACCCCGGGTGGGGTAAACTATATTGATGACCAAGTGATGCGCGGAAATAACTCCTGGAATAATTCAGCATGTTTGCCAAGTAATATGGGGAAGAATTAAAAACGTAATCATCAAGAAACCAAGTAAAGAGAAGTGGAGAGAAATATCTGATGAATTTAAAAAATACGCAATGTTTCCTGACTGCATCGGAGCTTTGAATGGAAAACACTTTCGAATAAAACAACCAGCAGATTCTGGTTCAATGTACTATCACTATAAAAATTAGTTTTCTTTAATATTAATGGCGCTATGTGGCTCAAACTATTGTTTTATTTGGGTAGACATCGGTGCTTATGGTAAAGCCAGCGACTCAGGAGTTTTCAAAGAGTCCACGCTTTACAAACAGCTAACAGATAGGTCACGCCAATAATAAGAGAGAATGAAGAGGAAAGATTATACCATATGTTAGCGACGAAGCCTTTGGCATGCTGGAAAACTTGATGAGGCCATACGGTGGAAAAACGCTACCACATAAAAAAAGTATTCAACTTTAGGTTAACATTAGGACGCCGCTATCTTGAATGCACGTTTGGTATTGCGTGTAACAAATGGCGAATATTATACCGGCCATTGGATGTAATCATAGAATTCGCAGAGTATTGTTAAGGCGATATGTATTTTACAAAATTACGTACTGAATTAATGATGGATATAATTTTACAGATACGAGCCCCTTCCCACTTCAATTGGCCCAACTATTGAAATCTTAGTTTTTTTCTTATCAAACACAAATAATAAAAATGTAGCAGGGTTAGGTTAAATATTAACAATGAATATTTTGATAATATATAGTAGAAAACACCAACTTTATCATTCGCTAATCAAATTTGCAGTATAAAAATAACACATGTTGCCATTACAGCATATCAACCTATTTTCATTTCAATGCAAAATAAGTCTATAACGCATAGGTGACTGTGAAAAATAAAAGCCATGACAATTGTTTTTATTAATCACAACTGTCAGAATACGTTTAAAATAGTTTTGGGAAGTTAAGGTTTTCAAAATGGGTACAGGAAGAGGTTATTAGTGAGAAAATTCGGTTACTGATAATGAATTTTTTTAACTCTGGGAAATCAAACTCAGAAATTGCAACTTTGTTAGACTTATCGCGGTACAGTGTGAGAAATATTGTTAGAAGATATAACGTAACTGGTTCAGTTAATATTAAGCCACGATATGTGAAAAAAAGTAATATCACAAATGCCGACCGACGAGCATTAACAAGAATAATCGTGAAAAACAGGCGTGCCAATTATTTACAATTAAGTGCTCTGTGAAGTGACGCTGTTGGAAGGAGAATTTCGAGGTCCACAACTCATAGAGAGGCCCACAAACTGGGATTTAGCACTTGCAAGGTAAGTTTTCTTATAAAAAAAAGTGAAGTAAAAACCCTAAAGTTGCACAACTTGTTTATAGGCCAAAGAAAAGCCACTATTAACTCCACTGCAAAAGAAAAATCGGCTTAGATGGGCTAAAGAACATAGACAATGGACACCTCAACAATGGTGTGCAATACAATGGAGTGATGAGGCCCGATTCGAAGTTTGTGTTGGTGATAGTTGCAGAAAAATTGAAGCATTCCATGTTGACTGTCTGAAGACAGCGCAGTATGTCATCAAAAGGAGTAGGAAAACTGTATTTTATTGATGGAAATGTGGATACAAACAAATATTTGGCAATTTCAGAAGAATCGCTTTTACCAGTGATGGAAGAATGTTTGACATTCGGCCAAGATTTTGGGTTTCAGCAAGATGGTGCAGCGTGCCATACCTCAAAAAAGGCTATAAAATGGATGGAAGAAAATAATGTACCACTTTTAAAATGGGTTTCTAGCAGTCCAGATCTGTCACCTATTGAAACTTTGTGGCACGAGATGAAAAAGGTTCTACAACATCCTGCTCGTACAATCACCGAACTGAGACAAAAACTTCAAGAAATATGGGATTGTTTTACACCAAATTTTTGCCAAAACTTGGTTAACACTATGCCCCAACGAATTTCAGCCGTAATAAAAAATAAAGGTGATGTTACCCAATGGTAATCTTTCAATTGTTGCTCTGTTAACTTCACGCATTAATTCGCACATTGTTTATTTGTTCAGATGTTCTATTAGTTATAGGTCTAAGTGATTTCAAATATGTATTTTTTACGACTAGAGTGTATCTAAAATGTTTTTGAGAAAATAAATTGTTTTAGAAGTAAATAGTTTCGTCATGTTTAGTTTATAAAGGCATATTTTGGTACAGATCTTGAAGTGGGCCAACTGAAGTGGGAAGGGGCTCGTATACTAAACACAGCGCCACTGACAACATTAAATCGGTCGCATATTGGTCGTAATATAAAGGATGCAGATAGGGTTCGAGTAAAATTGACAATGTACTTTGTGAATGAAGGGAAACTTGAATGGCAGGATAGAATGATCTAAATTGTTGTCTTTATTGTAAACATCAATTATAAATAAAGCAGTACGAACAACAGTACCTAATATTTGTTTTCTTCGGTGTCATCGGATTTGTAAAAAATTAGGACCATTCCCTCCCAGGCGCTTCTTTTTGTCGTCTTATTTGAGTATAACGTGGAATGCATGTCCCACATTGCTGGCCTCTTTTTAATTTCATCAATGAAAAGATCGGTGTTGAATTGTTCTACTTCCATTTCACTAACTACCATACGTAGGGAATTATTTATTTTCAAGACACACCTGGTATGTTGCCTGAATGCCAAGAACGACGCGTATGATTTCTCATGCGCACGTCCATGTGATCAGCTAGTATTAAATATATGTATTTTCAAAACGTCAGCCGTACGCGCGTCATCTGAACTGAGGCTAACGTGGAATGCATGTCCCAAATCGCTGTTCTCTTTTCAGTTTCATCAATGAAAAGATCGGTGTTGAATTGTTCTACTTCCATTTAACTAACTACCATACGTAGGGAATTATTTATTTGCAAGGCACACCTGGTATGTCGCCTGAATGCTAAGAACGACGCGTGTGATTTCTCATGCGCGCGTCCATGTGATCAGCTAGTATTAATTATATGTATTTTCAAAACGACGTCAGCCGTACGCGCGTCATCTGAACTGAGGCTAACGTGGAATGCATGTCCCAAATCGCTGTCCTCTTTTCAGTTTCATCAATGAAAAGATCGGTGTTGAATTGTTCTACTGCCACTTCACTAACTCCCATACGTAAGGAATTATTTTTTTGAAAGACACACTGGTATATCGCCTAAATGCTAAGAAAGACGCGCGCCAACTGAATAGGCAACTGGAACGTCTAATATTTCAATACGCGCGTCGACGATGACCGACGAGCGTATTGAGATTCTTCGTGTCTAGTGGCGACGGACGCGCGTATGATTTCTCATGCACGCGTCCATGTGAACAGCTAAAAGCGCCAGCCGTACGCGCTTCATCTGAACTATGTCTTAACTTATGAGATATAATACCCCGTCAAAGGTACTGGTTTTTGAAAATCGCGACATTTTTCAAATTTCAGTTTCCGACTGATATCTTTGAAACTACGAACTTTTCGGAAAAAGTATGTATAAATAAACGTTCGTTTCCAGTAAAGTAGTTTTTTTATTATTATAAGACTTCGGTCGACACAGTACAATTGTTGTAGTACAGAATGATAACTTATTAGAACGGTCGGAGAATGAATGAATCCTGAATGCTGGCACAGCCATGTTTTTATACTAAATCTCAAACAAAGAAATATTCCAGAAAGCTCTAGAAGTAACACCTGTAAATCTTAGAAATTGATAAGAGTTGGAGAGCTGTGCAAACAGTCGTTATTCGAAGAAATGATCGATAAAAAACGGTCACCTTAAGGGGATGGTCATTCTAGCGTACTGCTGAATTAAGGAGATGGTGTCTTAAGGAAACTAGTTATTAGGATACCATAATTTATATGATGAATTGTCTTTCAGGAGATAGATATCTTGAAATTTTGGAAGATCCCTGTGTTACTTACAATGTCCCTTTAGCTTATTTTAACAGGATGCACTTCCGACAGGATGGTGCACCGGCCACAATGCCCGAATTGTTCAAACTTTCTTATACAATAGTTCCCTGCAAAAATGGATCCTTACTAATAGACCATTTAGATGGCCTCCACGGTCGACCGACCTAACCGTTCTAGATTTTTTCTGTGGAGCTATTTGAAGCATGAGATTTATCGAACCCGTCATCGGACAATAGATAAACTACGTAATCCCACCAATGCTGCATTTCAAAACTTGCAAGGAAACTCGATAATTGTTTTAAACGCTTCAAAAAGCATAACCAGCCTATATCTACATTGCGTTCGAGAAAATGGCAACTATTTTGAGCATTTCCTTTAAAAGTCTATTGACTGGTTAATATCGTGGTACATTTTATGTCAATATTAAGATGAAATGTTACAAATTTAGTTTTATTATAGTTTACTTAGATTTAGCTTTTTTTAAATGGTTGTGTCTGTAATATGCTATAACAAATAATATGTATATAGCAAAGTCAAGGCCTTCTAATACTATTAGTATATTAATACACACTATGATAATACGAAGGTATAATATAGTCATTTTGTGAAATTATGAATTTTAGATTCATTATTTAAAATACAT